GCTCCGAAAGATATTATAACGAAAAAAAAAAAAAAAATTTTTGTTACGATTCATTAGGTTAACGAGAAGGTTAAATTCTGGCGCATCATTTTTCCCGGTCAAAGAAGCCGCCATAATTTTTTTTTTTTTTTTTTTTTTTTTTTCAGTCTTCCATTGCATACTTATAAATTTTTGTTCTGTTAAATATTTTAACAAATTGTATCAAATGACCCTCGTTTTATTTACGTAAAAAAAAAAAAAAGGGTTTGCCATCGATACCAACGTTTAAAAATAACTTAAGTGCGATGATGATGATGATGATGATTTGATGGTCTCGTATTATGATGGTGGGTGTTGTTGTATCGTTCGTTTAATCGAGTTCCAAGTTTCAAAAATAAAATTTATACGTTTTTAAATGTGCGTGTGTGTGTGTGTGCGTGTGCGTGTGCCAAAATTAACGTAATAATCGTTCATTTATCGAATTTCATTAGGTAAATTTTGTGGGATGGATGTGAGGAGGGGGGGGGGAGGACAAGAGGGTGGGTAGACGGTAGGCACAAAAAAGGACTAGGATATCAAATGTCGTGTCTTTAGGGTATTTTTTTTATTTTTCGGTTTTGAGTAAAAGGAAAAGCGTAGGAAATGGCGTACGCGAACAAAGAATTTTCAAAAAATTCGTTTTTTCCTTTTTCACGTATTTATTTCAATTTTTTTTTTTATAATGGACGTATCAGGTGAAAAAAAATTAAGGCCGAATTTAATTTTTTTATTATCAAAAGTGCGTGCGTGCGTGCGTGCGTGCGTGCGTGCGTACGTACAATTTCTAGTTTCCGCCTTTTTTGCTTGAAATATAATAACAAACAAGTCGACGAATTTTTCGACAAATATCAGAATCGTGAAAGTTTGTCGATGAGAAATGAAAACAATAAAGAAAAAAAAAAAAAAAAAAACAGAAAAAAATTTTATTTATTAAAATCAGGTTTATAATTAAGGTTCACAAATTAAAACCGACATAACGAACCTGAACGGTTAAATGAGAAGTTAAATTTTTTTTTTTTTTTTTTTTTTGATTTTCATGCACGAGTAACGAATTAAAAAAAAATTTTTTTTTTTTTTTTTTGTTTTGTTGTCACTACTGTTTCAATTAGTTTTCGAAATGGGGTTTGCCGTTTTTTTTTTTTTTTTAGTAAATGAATATTCATTCATCCGTGATGACGGTTCGATACATATTTCATTGATTGATTTTATTTTTTCACGAGAATGTGAATTATTTTTTCAATTCGGGGAGGGGGGGGAGGGAAACAACAAGGGAAAACGCAAATAAATTTGAGTGTAATGAATGAGAATAAAAAAGTTGTCGAATGCGTTACAAGGCGGATGTGAAAAGATTCAACTTCGATTATGTTTCGACGATATTACGACTAGAGAGAGTCGCGATATATCGTTTTTAAAATGATTTTCGATTCGATTTTTTCGAATAAATATGTTTTGTTTCTATTTCGTTCGTTTAGATTTACATTCGATTCGATAATAACTTATTTTGAATTTAATCGGCTTAGTTTTTATTAGAGTTGATTCAAAGTTTTTTTTATTTTTTTTTTATTTCTCCATCTTTTTAGTGTTTGTAGAAAAACGTTTAAAAGGGGAGGAGGAAGAGAGGGAAAATTTTCAATTTTCCCTACGGTTTACTTATTATTTTATCATTGTTATTTTTCTTTTTCGAGGAAAAAAAACATACAAACAAACAAACATTAATTGTTTACGAATAAGAGAGAAAAAAAAAAAAGAAACGAAACAAGTTTCAATTTAAAAAAAAATAAATATTTTTGTCCGTTTGTTTGTTTGTTTTTTGTTTTTGTTTTTTTGTTTTGTTTTTTGTTTTCCCTGGAACTCATTAATTATAATTATTGTTTGTTTGTTTGTTAGCGATTGTGTTTCGTTTTAAAAGTGAAAATTTTATATACGTATATATATTAAAGGAAAAGGAAAAAAAATCACTTCGTTTGAAATTATCGTATTAAATCGTTTACACCAAAAAAAAATTGTTTTCGTTTGTTTTTCGTCCTGTTTCCTTTTTTTGTTTTCGAAACAAGACGAAACGCATTCAAAATTCTTAAATTTTTTTTTCTTTTTGGTTGAATTTTCGTGGCGTGGTATGTATAAATTTACCGTTAATTTCGTTTCATTGTCAAAAAGAAAAAAAAAAACCAATTATATAAAAAGTAATACGTTTATTTATTACATTTTTGTTTGTTTGTTGTTGTTTTTATTTCTCATCGTTCATGTTGTTCGGTTATTATAATAAATTACAATAGTGAGTTGAATGTGAGAAAAATTGAATAAAAAAAACAAACAAAAGTTTGAAGACAAATGGAAAAATTGTAAGAAAGTAATAATAATAATAATAATAATTAATTATTTTAACGGTCTTTAAGACAAAAAAAAAAGAAATTGTAAATTGAGAAAAAATTATTATTATTATTTTATTATTATTATTAGGATTTTTTTTTGTAACGTAAACGTGAAGTTTAATAATAACGCGAATGCATGGTCAAGGACGTTCGAACCATATAAACCCCACCTTTAATTGTTTTCAAACGACAACAACAACAACACTTTGTTGTTTTGTTTGTTTAAAATTAATAAATGTAAGTCTCGAACTACGTTTTATTTATTTATTTTTATTTATTTTATTTAAATTTTATGTTTTTACTTTTTTTTTTTTTAAATATTGCAAATGAGAGAAAATATGTGGAAAAGCGAGAAAACTTTTTAATCGCGTTTTCCAAAAAAATTTTCACGTTTTTTTTTTTTTTTTTGGTTGTCGTTGACTTTTTTTTTAAGTTGTCTTGTGTTTGTCTTTACATTAAAATAAATTGAGAGAGATCAGTATTATTATTATTATTATTATTATTATTATTATTATTATTATTTTTACGTTAAACTTTGTTTAAAAAAAAATTATCGTGTAAATAACTTTCTTTTCGTTTGTTTTCTTTTCTTTTCGTTGGTTTTCCCGTGTTTGTTGTATAATTATATTCGGTGGGAAAATGAATTTGTTTTAGGGTTGGTAAAGTTTTTTTTGCGTTTTTTGCGTTTTTTGCGTTTTTTGCGTTTTTATCAACGCCCCGCAAAATAATAATTGATCAGGTGATGGGGGGAGGGGGGGCAGGTTGGAAATTCATGAGAAAAAACAATTCTAAAAAAAAAAAAAAAAAATTCGTGTTCTTATCGGAGACGTTCAGTCTGTTGTTTTTCTTTTTTTATTGGAAAAGTAGTTTAAAATTTAAAATAGAAAAAAAAAAAGAAAATTACAAAATGATTTAAAAATAATTTCGACCTATTTTTTTCCTTTATGTTGTTCGTTTCGATTTTATCAAATTTTTTGTTTTTTTTTTGACACGAGTTGGAGGGAGGGGGGAAATTTTTTTTAATTTTCCTTTTACGGGAAAAATTTACGAACATTTTTCATTTTTTTTTTTTTTAAATTGTGGAAATTCGGACATCGCGTCAACGTGGGAAATTTAAAAAAAAAATTGTAATTGTTGAGATTTATCAAACAACGTTAAAATTCCGTCGTGGCATTAGTTAGTTATAAAACGTATAAATTTGTTTTTTTTTTTTTTTTTTTTTGAATGCGTTTTAACTCAACATCCGCTCGTGTACCTTATTATTTTTTGTTTCTTTCTCTCTCTCTCTCTCTCTCTCTCTCTCTCTCTCTGGTGAACACCTGACAAAATTTTTTTTTTATCTTTTTTGTTTGACTGATTTATGTCGACGCACACGTACAGGTACATACAAACAGATACATAGACGAAAATATGGCGCGTTTAAAAAAAATTAAAATTTTTTTTTATTAAATTTAATTGCTTGTATATGTTTGTTTTATCATTATCATTATTATTTTTTTGCGTCGTCTTCTTCGCGCGTTTCTCTCTCTCTAACTTTCCGTTAAAATTTAAAAAAAAAATTTAATTTAATAAATATTTCCTTCCGAATAAGGAAAAGTGATGATAATAATAATAATAATAATTATAATATATGGAATATTAAATGAGTCAGTCCGCGGTGTCAGTTCATCTCACGATTTTTTAACTTTTTCGAATTCTACGCCAATAATCGTTTATCATTTTAGGTACGTTAGGTATTTCGTACCTTAAAAATTTTTGTTATATTTTTCATGTTTTTTTTTTTTTTTTTTTTTTTTTTTGCGTTTTGTTCAGTCGTTGTTCAGTTCGTTGTCGTGTTTTGTAATTAATTGTTCAGCAATACAAGCATCAAGTCAACATCACGTTGATGAAATTCGCGTTTGTTTTTTTTTTTTTTTTTTAAAAACCTTTAAGGTTTGCGAAATTTAAAGGAAATTGTTAGAAAAATAAAATTTAATGTTTTTCTAGAAAGTAATAATAATAATAATAAGCAGAAATGTTTGTTTTTTCTTTTATGTTTTAAAACGAAAGCGAAATAATAATAATAATAATAATAATAATTAATTTTTATTTTTCATTTAGCCCTCCGGGGGACATTTAAAAAAAAAAAAAAAAAAAAAAAATTTTTTTTTTTAATTGTTCGGAGTAATCTTAATTAAAACTCGAGCTTAATAATAATAATAATAATAATAATAATAATAATAATAATAATAATAATAATAATAATAATAATAATAATAATTCAAGGTCGGGAAACGAATAAAAACATGACATTTCGTTGTGAAAATTCGTTTTTTGTTTGAAAAAAAAAAGAAAAAACGTCAAAAAGAATCGTAGCTAATTATATAATCATCATCATCATTATTTAAATTGTTCAGTTATGTGAAAATTCTTATCGGGAAATTTTTTTTTTTTTTTACTTAATCTCCCTTCCCCCTTTCCCCCAAAACGGAAAATCCGGTGTGAAAAATCAAAAGTGATTTTTTTTTTTTTAAATAGTAAAAGTATTTTAAAAACAAAAAATTTATAAAAAAAAAAAAAAAAGAATTTAGAAATGAAATCGATTATAATAATTAGGACGTAACCGTAATGATGTCTATCCGCCTCGGCGGAGTGTACCTCGTACCTACTAGTCCGGTGGGAACACCGACAGGAGGAACTCCCACCACTCCGATAAAAACGACAAATATTTTATTAGGACCGCAGCGTAGTAATAGTTTGGATTATTTAAATTTCGAAGAGAAAAGACAGATAATTGCGTCGAGTTTGTCTCTGTCGGATTTTCTACAGCATGGACCCGCCGTGGCTGCTGCCAAAGGGGTCGAAGCGACGAAAATTATCGTAGCCGGTGAGTTTCCAATTATTATTATCACTATTATTATCATCATCATTATTATTATTAGTCGTTTTTCACTTTGATTCTTTTGTATATGTGCTGCTGTTGCTGCTGCTGCTGCTGCTCCAACAGCACGTAATCGTGTACGTATTTACGTTATCATTGACGTTCGATTGACAGTCGATTTTACGATGGAAAGCGGTAGTAATAATAATAATGATGATACCTTATTAATTATTCCATTGTCCTCGTAGTAAAATGTTTTTGAATTTTCAATTAATTACCGTTGATCAAACTCGAAAGTAAAAGTAGTAAAAAAAACTTTTTTTTTGTTGCTGTTGTTGTTGATGTCAAAAAGAAAACGCTGCAGGAGTTTGGAAAAGAGAGAGAGAAAGGGAAGGAAAAAACGCTGTGAATACATTTTACGTCAAAGCTTTTTATTAATAATAAAAAAGTAGAGTTTTTTTTTTTTTTTATTGCTCGATAAAAAGCTTTTTCCTTCATTAAAACAAGAAGGAAAAAGTAACAACAATAAAAAAGAAAAAAGAAAAAAATGACTCGAAGCTTTTTTTTTTTTAAAACAAAAAAAAAAAGCTTCAAGTTTCAAGTGTCAACCCAACAACAAAAAAAAAAAAAGTTTTTTTTTGTTTTTAGCAAAGGTAAAAAAGGAAAAAAGGAAAAAAAAGAAAAAATCATGAGTTATATGTTTACTTATTGTTTTTAGCAAAATGATAAGATGCTGTTTAAACTGGTTTTTTCTTTTTATTATCATTTTTTAAACAAAGGTTTTCTGAAACGCGCGAAAAGTTGAATTTTCTTTCTTTTTTCTGTTTGACTTTTTGACTTTTTGAACTACCGAAAAAAAAATATTTAAAATTTGTTTGTTGTTGTTTTTTTTGTGGTTGTTTTTCGTGGTTGTTGGTTGTTGGATTAACGAAAAAAGAAACCTTAAAAATTACAAACGTTCGATTCTTGTGTTACGTTCGATTTTTTCCTTTTTTTATTTATTTTTATTTTCGGAATTTGATTTTTTTTTGGGGGGGCGGGGTGGGGGATCATTAGGGGATTCGAAAAGGGATTTTTGAGGATTTGAGTCTAACGACTGAGTTGTAAAATTTCAATCGTTAGCATCGTCGTATTTTTACATGGAGTCTCGACAAGTAAAAAAATTTTCATTACTCGTACGAAATTTGCAACACGCAATTTTTTGAATGAACGAAAAAATTCGTAATTAAATTTTTGTTGTTGTTGATAATTTATCATTCACGACAAACAAACAGACAAACAAACAAACGAAAAAGAACGATCAAAGTCGTGAAAAGATTTGATCGTCGAGAGAGAGAGAAACGTCGCTAACGGGTTCGCAAAAGATAAATTTATTTTTAACGGTACCGCATTTTTTTTTTTTTTTTTTTTTAATAAATTAAATTTTGTAATCCGTCGACACTTTTGACATTTTTTCGTTCGAACGTAAACACGAAATTTGTCATAGAGTAAAAAAAAAAAAAAAAAAAAAAAAAAAAGTTGGTAACAATGATTCTTGTTCAAACAATCGAGATTGTGTCGTTTCCTTGTTTTTTTGTTGTTGCGTTTTTGCGTGGCATCTAATTATTTGAAAAAATCGTTATTATTATTATTATTATTATCGTAAATAAACCTAAGAAATGTATGGAAAAACGATTTGAGCAAGGTTTTCCTTCCCCCCCCCCCTTTTTAAACTTTCACGTGTATTAATTTTTTTTTTTGAGGAAAAATTTTAGGATTTAAAGAAATTTTTTTTTGTTGTTTTTGATGATTGATTGATTGATTGATTGATTGAATCTTTTTTTTTTTTTTTTTTTTTCGTAAACATTTTTGAAATCGATATCGTGAGTTACAAGTGTAAAACGATAGGTCGTCGTTTTTTAATTAATTAATTTGATTAATCAGTCGTTTGTTTGATTGATTGAAGAATCATATCGTTAATTATATTCGATGAATTTTTATTATTTTTTTTTTTTTGTTCATTTATGTACATATTTATATGTATTTGTTCGATTCGAAACTTTACATTTAGTCACGTGACTTGAGTAATAGGTACGTGGCTTTAAAAGCATTTAAAAGAGAAAAAAAAATTTTTTTTTTTTTTTTTTTGTTCTGTGCTAATAGCAAATTTCTTTTGACTTTTACGACTTCATCATCATCATCTATCATCACATTGTTAATGTATTCAACTTGCTAATGTATTTAACGTTACGCATTCGTTTGTTTCGCTCTCTTTCTTTTTCATTCTCTCGCTCGTTTGTTTGTTTGTTTGTTCGTCTTTTTGCTTGCTTGTTTTTTTGTTTGGAATGTTTTTAAAAGAAAAACATAAAAGGTTTTACTCGTGATCGTTTTAATTCCCCCCGTGACGAGAGATTTTCGAGGGTTAACGGACTAAACAATTCCATCGGTTGGTGTTATCACGATTTTCGAATCTCTTATCATTTTTTTATTGTTTCGAAAAAAAATGTCTTATTCGACTTACGTAGTATAGAAATTGTTTGTTCGCAATTAAAAAATTAATTTTTTTTAATTGTTACGACCTCGACCTCACACGATGGTTAAAAATGCCATCACCGCCATCTTAAGTCACAACATAGTTTCGTCAGTTGAAAATTGTAAAATGCTCTTCATTTACATTTTACACACACACACACACACACACACGAAACAAATTTAGGACAAAGGAGAGAGAAAAAGAAAAAGAGAGAGAGAGAGAGAAAATCGAGTACAACAATTAATTAATTATTTTATTAATGTAATTAAGTCATATTAGTTTCCATTAAATTTTTAATATTACAAAAAATCTGAATCTCAATTTCAATCTCACTTAACTTTTACGAACTGTTATTAACCTTTTACTTCCTTTTTCGAAAGCAGAAGAAACACGCATTTGCAAATTTATTTATTTATTTAAAAAAAAAAAAGGGGGGGAGGGGGAAATTGAAATCGGGTATTTAATTTATTGACCCGAAAGTATTTTTAAATTCGAAAAAAAAATTATCGGGTTATTATTATCATTATTATTATTAGATATTACGTTGGGACTGCGTAAAGGTGAAGTACTCGAAAAGGTTAATAAGATTACCAACCTCCTGATCTAAATCGATTTCAGGTTCACGATTAAAATTTTACTATGGTGACGTCATGTAGGGAAAGGGTTGAAGAAGAAATTCATGTGTGTGTCAAAAGCAAATTTTTTTTTCTTGCTTGAAGGGGGATGGTGGGGATGAGGGGTAAAGGACAATTGAGAGATTCGTAATTATTCGAAGAAAGTTTTAAAGAAAATTATTCCATGTCAAAATTTTCTAAACCTAAAAAACTTTTTAACGAATAATGCGTTTAATCTTCTGTGCGATTCTTCCCTTCGCCCTCCCCTTTCCTGCCCCCCCCCCCGAAAAAAAAGAAAAGAAAATGATTTCGTATAAGTTTTTTTATTACCGTCGTCGTCGTCATCATCGTAAGCGATCAATGGGGAAAAAAAAAGTTTTTAAAATGAATTTTCTTTCGTACCAAGGGAAGAAGCTATTATTATTATTATTATTATTATTATTATTATTATTATTATTATTATTAATAATTTTATCGATTTTTCATTTTTGGGTTTCGAAGAAAAGGAAAAAGGGAAAAAAGAAAAAAAGGAAAGGAGGCTTTTTTTTTTGTTTTTTTTTTTTGTTTGGTTCATGAAAATTTTTCACCCGTGAAAATAAATAAGATTAGTATTTTCTTTTTCCTTTTTTTTTCTAATTTCCCCCCCCCCCATCTTTTCTTGTCTCAAAGGATTTTGGTATTTCCGTTATTACCATTTAAAAATAATAAAATTTTCGAAAAATTTTTGGAAAATTTTTTTTTTTTTTTGTTTACGTACGCGAAAAAAATTTGTTGTCTCTTTTGGATGAGAAAAAAAAATTTTATTTTTTTTTATTTATTATTATTTTCCTTTTTTTCGCTACGGTTGTTGTTGTTGTTATTGTTTTTGTTGTTGTTGTTGTTGTTGTTGTTGCTGTTGCGAGAAATTGTTTTTTTTTTTTTAAATAACGATTGTCATTTCGATACGCCATCGAAATAAATTAATTTATTATTCGAGTGATTTTTTTTTCTTTTTATGAGTTTCAAGCACTTTTACAGTTTTTCTTCTTCTTCTTTTTATTATTATTATTATTATTATTATTATTATTATTTCTTTATCGTAGGATTTAAAAAAAAAATTTTTATTTTCCGTTCGGAGGAAGAAGAAAAAAAAATGGCGAACCGATTGAATAACTTAAACTGTTTTGAAATATTTAATTTTTTGTTTTTTTTTTTTTTGTTTTTTTTTTTGTACGCGCGATTGTACGTGTAAATAGAAAATTTTTAAATTTTGAATGATGGAATGTATCATCGGAAAAGGGTTATTTTATTACCACGGATAAAAAAAATTATTATTATTATTATTATTATTTTAATTTCTCGGAGCGTGAAAATTACTTCGTAACGATTCTTTTTTTTTTTTTTTTTTATTATTTTCTTTCTGTCTTTCTTTATTTTCACGGTTGCATTTTATTTTTAATGCATAAAAAATTATTTCTTTTGCAATAATTTTATTTATTTTTGTCTAGAAGAAAAAAAAAAAAAATTTTTTTTGTTTATTTTCGTCTGCTATTTTAATAATTTTTGCATTGAGAAAAAAAAGAAAAATGGCGTCGATGAAAACAAGACGAAAATGATTTTTTTTTTCGCTTCTTACTAAATTAAGTCGGAAAAAAATTTTCTTTTTTAAATAATTTATGTTTGAGTTCTTTATCGTTATCATAACTCTCATTATTATTATTATTATTATTACAATTAACCGTCATTAACCGTTTTTTGTCATCGTGACCCAGTCAACCTGACTTGTGTCTCTGTCTCTCTCTTTTTCGTCACAAATTTTTACAATCTGAGGTTGGAATCGTTTTAGCGCATTCGAAATGATTATAAACGATGGGGAAAATATTTAGTCAGACAAAAAAAAGATGATTTTTAAATGAAGACGATGGATGATGAGAACCTTGACACAAAAGGTTTGAATGATAGAAGGAAAATGGCTACGATTTAATAGAGTTGTGTTGTTACGGTTAATTTTTTTTTTTTTTTTTTTTCGTTCATTCCAACGTGTGGTTTTTTTTTTTTTTTTTTATTCATTAGAGTGTCGATGTTATTTTTGCATTTAAAAAAAAAAAAAAAAAGAAAAAAGTGGGACGTTTGTTTACAGTTA